TATCTTTGTTAGATGTTGTAAATTGCAAATCAGATGGAGGTGATGGTGGTTGTCTGGATTAAAACTGAGAACGGGATGGTTTTGAGTACAGTGTGTATTTGTTCTGGAGCTGGTTCCTTTCCCCCTTCAAAGATTCCAGGAATCCCAGTGATGCTCTTCCATTCCTACCCAATTTTCAGAGGATTCCTGCTTGGTTTGAAAGGAAATTAACATAACATGTTTGAAGAAATGCAGAGAATTGGGATATCTGTTTTCCAAGCAGTCTCTTGAGATACAGCCATAGTTTGAAAGATCCCTCATAATTCTATTTTAAACAGCAATAATATCCAGAAAAAATGTTGTTTCCTAAAATAAGTGTAATTCTCTTCAAATAAGAAGGCATCCTGGTAGTCTATAATGGTACTAAATTTATATTAACTGGTCTGTTCATGCTCCAGTGTGAATCAATGGGATGTGTCAACTCTCTTCTTTGAAATCCTCACACTGTCTGTTTCTTATTATTTTAATCCTCCCACTGCCCCCCTCCCTCCCCAGTATATCTGCAGGAGGAGATGCGGTGCCATCTGTGAGAGACTATTGATTTCTGTGCCTAACTGCTTTCATAAAGAGCAAGGCTGATAACTTCCAGAGCCTCATATATCCTGAGATTTTTATTCTGTTTGTAGTCCAGTCACTTTATTGGATGATTTGAGGGAGAGGTTAAAGACTGGAGGAATTGTTTTATGAATCTCTGGATGGAAAAAGAGCATTTATAAAGCTTGAGGTTTATGACTTCATTTCTTTTGGTGTAAATGCTCCTCAAGATTTGGCTTATAAAAGGAGATTTTTTTAACCATCTGATTTGCTGCCTTCCATTTACCATATGTTAGATGAATGTGGACTTCCATTTTGCCTGGATTCCCATCCTGTGTTCAAGAGTGAGACTTTTTTTAAATACTACTGACTCCTTTCCAAAGGCCTTAGCAAAGCAAAAGTGTTGAAATACCTGCTCCATTCCTTGGTCGTCTATGGTTTTGACTACTGAAGGCTGTTTTCACTACTGTAAAGATGCATATGTAATTGTCCTGCTTTCTAGACTGCATTGTTCATTATTTTTTGAAGTTTACAACAGCCTGGAGCACTTTCTAAGTTCATTGTTTAGTTCCAAGAGACTCTCTCTGCTGATGTGTGTTCCTTTCTATTAAAACAACACAAAACAGACTTCTTATTTCAGCGCTTTATGTCCTAATTGCAGCATGGGGTTCATTTCAGGTACCTGGTCTCTGGTTTATCAACTGGCTTTCAGCACTGATGTTTTTAAGGCTATCCTCTTTGAAAGCTACTTTGTTAGTCAATACAAAGTAAAAAAAGATAAAGCTATGTATTAGCACCAAAATCTTCCTCATATTTACTCTGAATTAAGGCTCACAGTTTTCAAAAGAGAATATTTCCATGTTCATATTTAGAGTTGAGCTGCCAGAATCTTTTAGAACATCAAAGCAAATGGATAAGCTGCTTGTAGGCATTTACCTTTTACAATCAGAAGGAAACAAATCTTTAAGACTGTTTCTAAACAAGGGTACCAAGATGTTTAGGCTTATTTCTACATGCACAGTCACCTATAAAGTGATTTTGCACCTGACAGGGTAATAGCGATCAGAGAGGAAGGGAGGGAGGGAGGGAGGGAGGGAGAGTCATTTTTACTTCTGTAACAAAGATAAGTGATATTCACTGAAACTTCTTCTTCAGGTATGAATTTCTTAATTTTGTGTCTATGTGAGCTATTTTAATACCAAGCTTAAGTTATGTATTAGAACAGGATTGCTTGTCATAAAATTGTAGCAAAATTGCAGTACAGTGGATAGTAAGCACAGCATGACCACTGGAAGACAGGACTGATGTGGTATCACTGTCTAGCTGAGAGTGTCCTGATTCGTTTCACAGCACATAATCCACTAAGAAGTTTTTCTCCAGCCCCAGTGAAACCAAGAGGAACGGTGCAAGAACATTTTAAAGGGGTTATGCAAAGTGGACTTCCTGATCTTCTGTGAACATGATGTTCTAATCTGAGAAAGAGGAATCACCTTTGCAAACTTCTGCTAAAACACATGGGATTTAGCATTGCATCATTACACAGAATGCAGCAGATAGGTGGAATGGCATTGTGAACTGTGTGTGTGAGTAGATACTGATCCACATAAACAAAAAGCAATCTTGTTGGAAGCTTCATAATTTTTTTTCAAAAAGAAAGTCTATCCCAGCTCACATAGTACTATTTACTAGTGCCAAACTTAATAAGGTAATCACATGAACATGCGAAACTGCCTTGTCTAGCTTGCTAAGCAGAAAATGTTCAATAGTATGAGTTCATGGGAGCCCTATTGAAAAAGGCACCTCTAAATACAAAACTGCACACATAGAAATGGGGTCAATTTGAAAATCTTAACACCATAAAATAGATCATGCTATGATCACCTTGCTTCACACAATAGTAAAGGCAAATAGCCTAAGGTACTTTAACTCTGAAGAGAGGAAGTAATGTAATTCAGTATTAATATATTAGAAATCCATTTTAAATGAAAAGACTTTTAATGAGCGTGCCCATTTTAACTTCATTTATTAAGCTCTTTCGTGACAGAACAGCCTCGTGCATGCCCTCTGCTAAGTAAACTTAACTGCATTTAATAGAAGATACTTCCAATAAATGTGTATGGGATAAAAGCTAGTTGTATGGTTGTTCATCCAAATTTTAAATAGAAATAGTGAGCCGTACTCAGCAATGGACCTGTCTTTTATTTCTTAAACAAACTTTCAGTAATTTTAATGTGGAGTCACTATGATGTGCATTTGAAAAATTCTTAGAGGCAATGCATCTAATGTATGTATGGCATCAATCATAGGAGAAAGAAATGACTGTGTGATTGCATGTAGCAATATACAGCTTAAAACTTATGTTCTTTAAGTAGTAATTACTAATTTTAATATTGCCTTAAAATACAAAGCCATACTTGTATGTGACTTTGGAACATTGGATAATTTTATTCGGTTGGCACTACTTTGACGAGACATTCTTTTCCATTCCTTTTTAAACATGCGGACCATACAAACAGAGCAAAAGTTGTGCAATGAATAAGATGTTGTGGCTAAAATCCTCTATCAGATAATCCTGGGATTAAACACTCATACACAAACACACACGCATGCATGCAAGCACGTTCTTACTATTGCCATTTATTCTCAGGCTACAGTCCTAAGCTCACTGGAGCATAGGTTGCTCCATGGTACTGCAAGTTTTTCACCATCATCATCATCTTCATCATCATCATGATGCATAAGAATGCCCTGACAGTATTATTCAGTTATCTTTAGATTCCTAAAATAGTGTAAAATTTTCATCAGCATAGTTTGGAAAGAGAAACGTTCAGCATTATGAAGCCAGTGAATGGCATACTACATCAAACACAACACATAAGTACACAATCTCACATTAAACCTCTGTGACCAATAAATGAGATGACAGTTTATGTCATTACATAGTATGTGCAAAACATGTTTTCCTGGGCTGGAAATGACATCTTTTAAGAAAGACATAAGCTACAGTTTCAAATGGGTTTTCGGTATACAAACACATTTTGAAGGAGCATTATCTTCATTGGCCATTATCATCTGAAACTCTGATGACATCACTAATACAGTTCAGAAGGGTAGCTGTGTTCACTGCAGCAAAAATGATAGTATTGTGGCACCTTAAAGACTCACACATTTATTCTGGAATGAGCTTTCACAGACATTTTCCATTTTATGAAAGTTTATCATTAAAGATTGAGTCAGTCGAAGGCCTATTTCTTCCTAGTGTAGATACACCATAGAAGGATTCCTTTCAATGTACTGCAAGTTGCCTATAAAAAACAAGCTCAAAATAATCATGTCGGCTTCAAGTACTCATCTAAGACGGTAGAGCAAAGCTTTGCATTCCAACAATAGTACAATTCAATTAGGTTTTATGTTCTTTCTTTCACATAGCATATTTGAAAACATACTTTCGAGAAAGAGAGATAAAATAAGACCATGTTTTACAAAAAGAGATAAAATAATAAGATACTAGTTAGCTGTAGCTGAGAAGATGGTACTTGGCATATTTAACTAAAATATGTGACTACTTCCTGAGATCTAGTCAGGAAAGTGTCGTGCTCCTAAGTTTTTTTTATAGCTGTAATGAGATTTATGAAAAAACTAATTCAGCCTATATAAAATATCCTATATATATATTCTGTGTTACTTACAAAGGGAAAGCTCTTAGGCATAAGAACTGTCACTGTCCATAGGATTGATTTTTTAAAAGGTGTCCTTATTATGTCAAAGGTTAGTCATGTATGTGTATGAGTGAGGAAATTGGATATCCCAAAGTTATTTAAGCTTACAAACTCTCCTTTATTCTTAATTTTCAGCATTAGATACTTATGACCTCTTATTGTTGACCCTTATAAAACAAACCTGTTACAAGCAATGTTTATGTAATTTTCTCTGTAAATCTCCTCATTAAATAACACTGAGGAGGGTGAACTACAACATGGAAAGCTTGCTTTGAAAATTGGATCATTTGAGTGCAAGGTATTATGAAATAATTGAAAGGATGAATTCAAATTAGCAAATATGGGGAAATCCAGTGGTAAATACATAAGTGATGGGCAACAAAATTAAGAATAGCAAAATAGCAGATGTTTCCAGCATTAGAAAGGTGGGGCATTACAGGGCAATAACTTCCCTAGGTGGAACTCTGCCTTTGGGCAACTTCCTCCACAGCTGTTAGAAAACATTTTTCTATGAACTATGTGACACTGGAGGCAGTCAGAGGCAATATTGGACAGATTGTTTGTTTATTTAATTAAGATGTTGATCCCTTTCTAGTGATAATAGCTCTTGGGGTGGCTTATAAAACATCAAAAGCTAATGACAGAAACAACAGTCACTACTAAAATATAGCAGAGCCACAGCCTGGATTTAAATATCAACAAAACCAGTTGTTGTATGGAAGGAGAGAAGGTTAGCACTCCCCTTAATGAGGATGGAAGAGGTCTCAGTGTCCTGTACAACACGCATATGGTTAAGGCATTGCTTTTTTAAGTTAGTGACCTTTGTTTTGTATTTGTGTCTATATTTTATGGATCTTGTATTTTAATATGTTGTAGTTGGCTTTTATTGTGTTTTATCTTGTGACTGTGAACCGCCCAGAGGTGTTGTGGCACAACTGGGTGGCATATAAATGTTTTAAATAAATGAATAAGTCATGACTTCTTATTTGCTACCTAATAGCTTGGTCCCATCTAAGTGCAAATAGATATGAGAAGGGAGCTCCATCAATGAGATAACTCCGCAAAAGGACCTTATTCCTGCTAGACCTGCACACTGCTGTAAAGAGTGCTGATAATGGCAATATCCCAGCCAGCTCTCCGGTGAAGGTCTAAACAAACAGGCACTTCCACAAAATTTTTCATAATAGGTTATCAGCTACTCTATTAATGAGCTACTCATATGACTCTCACTGGGGCTTTCTTCTGAGTAGACCGGTATAGGATTGGTAAATCTTCTGAGAGCTAAGGGTGCAATCCTAAGCATGCTTAGAAATGCTGGGAGGTGTAGGGTGTTTTTGTCTAAATATGCATAGGACTGCACTCTGAGAGAGCTAATTTATACCATTCATTTGAGACTGCAAGGCAATGTTGTAGGCAACTTTGCAGCTGATACCAAGTGTTCAGTATTATGAGAATGAAAGTCATTGAAAAAGATTTGTCCAAACTGAGTGACTGCAACAAAATAGCAGATGAAGTTAAGTATTAAGTGTGTGTAAAGCAGTGTACATTCTATCAGAAAATCCCTGCCTTATGAATACAATGGGGCTTTGAACTGGGCATTACTAACCAGGGAAACACTCTTGAGATTGTGGTACATATTTCAATGAAAATGTCAACTTAGCATGCAGTGGTAGTGTAAAAGGCAAATACAGGGTAAGAATGATTAGGAAGGGATTGAAAATAAAGTACACAGTATCTCAGTGTCGTTTTTATAAATCAATAGTCCAGCTCCATTGGGAATGCTGTGTACAATTCTGGTCACCACATCTCCAAAAGGACATTGTAAAGCTGGAAAAGGTGCAGAAAAGGGCAATGAAAATGATCAGCAAGTTAGAACATTTTCTGTACAAGGAAAGGCCAAAGCCTTTGGAGCTTTTTTTTTAAAGATGACTAATGGCAGACATGGCAGAGGCCTATAAAATATGTATGGGGCATATAAAGTAGGTAGAGAGAACTTTTCTTCTCTCTCAAAATACAAGAATATGGGGTCACAGAATAAAAAGAGCTGTAGCTAGATTCAGGACAAACAAGGGAAACCCTCTACTTTTTAAATGGATCAGTTCACAGATTTCTCTGCTGCAACATGTGGTGATAACCACTGGCTTAGATGGCTTGGGTGAATTCAAGGAGTGTAGATTATTGTAAGCCTCCCAGAGAACCTTTGGGTTATGGGGTGGCATAGAAATGGAATTAAAATAAATAAATAAATTGATTTATCACTGACTGTTAGCCATAGTCTCCATCTTCAAAGGGAAGATGCTGATGAATGCCACTTTCTGGAGACTGAGAGCATGGAAGAAGTATTGCTTTCCTGACCTACTTGTAAACTTCCCAGAAGGAAGCATATTGACGCAGTAGATAGAGTCGGAGTGTAATCCTCCAGTTGTTGGTGGATTGCAAGTTCCATCATCCCTCACCAGTGGCTACTTTGTTTAGGGAGGACTGTAGTCTAACAGCATCTAGAAGGCAACATACTATCTTTCTTTGAAGTAGTGCCTTAGTCTGATCCATTAGGACTCATTTTACATTCCCACGTTCTTACATAAACTGACTGCTTTGCTTTTGCAGATATTGTAATTCCATGCATCCAGGGCTTCTGTTAATATTGTCCTATCAAGTGACGAAAGCATGTGTGTAAATTCAGCGGTAGTAATCATGCTTTGCACATCCACGTGTCATTTTATTTTTGCACATGAATACTTATAACAGTATAGTAGGAATCTTAGAGACTTATGCCTTCACCATAAATCCTGGAGTAGAATATCTTAGATGGTTGTTGCTAGGCAATATTTATTATTTTGCTGAGTATGCCATAGTGTAGAGCTCTGGTATAATTCTTTTAAGAGCACCTTTTTAGTTTCTTACTGCTTGTATCAATCCCTAAGGGTCTAGTTGAGCCAAGGTACCTCACTTTAGATTCAAGGATACTTAGGAAGGAATAAAACCACCTGTGTCAAAAATGATATACAGTTTATTGAAAACAATAATGAAATATGGATGAAGAATATAAACAAGCAAAAGAAAGTTTACACCCCCTTATCTGTGGCTGTACTGATTTCTTGAATAGGTCAGTGGCTGCTCTGTGAACTTTCAACGTTGTATGGGTGAGTAATGCATCAATTCCTTAACCCAAGCCTAGGACAAAAGACAGTGACTCTACAAATTTCCTCTTTCTCACTGTTTCAGGGGCTGTCAGTACACATAGGCTCTGACCCCTATTCCTTGGAGATATGGAGGTGAATTAAAGTATACTTTTTTTGTTTTCAGAGTAGCCAAAAGCAGCTTTTATTTAAGGAATATACTTGGGGAAAGAAACTTCAAGGCAATTATCTCTGGTGTTCTTCCTAACAAGTTGAAGGCCATAACGCTAAACTGTCCTGGCTTATGGACACTGCAAAAGTTTACTACGCTGCCTGCTGAACCTTGCTCGTTTCCTTGTTATTCTTCTAGTACAGCTTACTCATAACATCACCTATGTTGCTTAGTTTGAACAAGGTCTCACCACTGTTCCAACTAGCTGGAATGCTGTTGCTTTCAGTGCAGGGATATGACTTCTATCATGTTACATGTGTAGAATGTGCTTTCCACTGTGCTTGGTAACTACAACCTTTTTATCGTCTGGGATTAGGGGATGATACTTCTGGATATTGTTGTGAAACAAAGCAGCGGTTTTGTGATTATAAATAACATTGGTACTTTATTTATTTATTTATTTAAAGTTTTTATATGCCATCCCAGTACTAAACGTCTCCGGACAGCTTACAAAAAACCAAAAACCAAAAAACAAAGCAACCATAAACAACAAACAACAGATGACACACTGCATCTGATAAATGATAAAAACAAAGATAAAACAAATTAACTGTTAAAATATTGGGGAAATAAAAAGGTCTTCATCTGACGCCAAAAAGAATAAAGTGACGGTGCCAGGTGAACCTCCCTGGGGAACCTGTTCCACAGTCAGGGTGCCACCACTGAAAAGGCCCTTCTCCGCGTAGCTACCCTCCCAATTTCCTTCAAAAAGGGCTTCCAGAGAAGGACCTCTGCTTCAGATCTGAAGGAGTGGGCAGGCACATAGGGAAGAAGATGCTCCTTCAGATATTCAGTACCCAAGCCATTTAGGGCCTTATAGGTCATTACCAGCACCTTAAATGTCATGTATGAAGTTTATTTAGGTTCTGCACCAAGGAGAGCTGAGTTCCCTAGTGTGAATAATATTAAGCAAAGCTGCTCTTTCTTTGTCATTTTGTATAACATAATTATTACATTTATATACCACCTTGGAGGAATGCAAGGCAGCAGGCATGCTTACCCAGCCTTTATGCTTACAACAACCTTGCAATGTGCATTAGGCTGAAAGGTAACAACTGGGCCAAATTGCCCAGTGAACTTCATGGCCGGCTGACAGATTGCACATCAGTTTCTCCAGCCCTTGTCCAGGACTGTAATCATTGCATCACTTTGGTTCAATCCTTCTTATACTGCTCCTGGAGAGGTGCAAAGAATTATGCCAGGCATAGAAACCACACCCTCTGACATCTTGAAAACCTCTTGGCCTCCTCTGAACTTTGCCCATATTTATAATTAGAAGATCTGGAAAGTTACTGAATCCTGTGACTGCTATTCATTCTATGATTTTCTGTGCTTGCATGGAATCAGGGATTAAATAAATATACTGTTGAACTGCATTTTTAATAAGAATCCCGAAATGTCCTGATGTTTGACAGAGAAGCTGAAAAGATGCCAAAAATGTTCTTGGAAATAGGAATGCTAAACTGATTTTCTGTGAAGTCCATACAGTTGGGTCATGAGTTACTATAAAAAATTAAAATACTTTAATAAGTAGCATATACTGACTGAGTTTGAACAATCACAGAGGGAAAAACTGTGGTGACTTACTTTTCCTCTTAAGATGTGGGAGATTCCAGCCTCCTAATTAGCATAATTACCCAGGTTGGGTAATTATGCAAACAAGCATGTGTAGAGAAGGCTTATTTTCTCTCCATGATCATGAACAACTTCCTCTTTTCTTTTCTGAGCATCATACCTTATATACTGTTGAACCTCTTTTCCTTACCTGCATGGTCTTTCTATACTTTTTTCTGTAATCTTTCTGAATTTCAAAGGTGATTTGCACTTAGCACCATTGGTACAGTGGCAAATTTTGTAATGATAAGTCATATGCCAGTACATCATGATTGTCATTGTCATTAATGTACATCAGTATATTGTCATACTCCCATGGAGAATCTGAAAATACAGCCAGGTAAGTTGATATGTATTAACAAATAATTTCTAGCACTTTTATCACTGCCAGGAGCAGATGTTCCGTAAAAGCGAATGAATCTTATGGTTCAAGAAAAAGTCACACTTTTCTGTTTACATGATAGCCATATATTGTTGCTGGAAAATTTAGTCCCCCCTTGCTACTGTGAGAATTGCAGCCAGAATTCTGAATAAGGTGGCAAATGATGTCAAGATCCCTGCTAATAAAAATATAAAAAAATAAAAATGCTAGCACTGTGTCGTTGCAAGCCTTGGTTCCACTACACCATTTGTTAGCACTGTCGTTTTCTTTACCCCTTACCTGGACTTTCTTCTGAATATAAGTCATTTGTACTTGGAAGGTTTTCAGTGGAGGTAGGCAAGGAAGACATATACAACTTGACACAGAATTTTCAAATAGTTAATCCAGTATCAACAGAAGTGGATCCAAGCAAATGGAATAATCTTTCCTGTACAGTATCTCCTTGAACAAAAATGGAAGCATATCAGAGAGTGGGAGGAAGTAA